AAAATAGTTAAAATTACATTCTGATATTTTGAACAATATCATAATCTTTTCTGACACTGTACGTCATGTTCAGTTATCTGAGAAAAACGTTCCACATTTTTACATGCCAAAATAAAATCAGTTGAACTGGTGTTCTTTCCTACGGTACTTCGTGGGGACCTGCAGTTTTACTCTCAGGGCCACCATGGCTCAAACTTTATAGACTGTTTGATACAATTAAGTGCACAGGAGCCATATTATTGGTCAGGTGATTAGAAATGCACCAACAGGTATGACTCCTGTAAAGCTCTAACAATGAAGTCTTTGAGGATTGACTCACTTTTGAAGCCTCAAGTGGAGAAATGCAGCTTTTGGTTTCCTTGCTCAGGTATTGCATTTTTTTCCCCAGTATTAACTGGTGTACCTTTTGGTCACAAACACCTGGAAAAAAACTTATGTTATGCTTTTATTTCTAAAATTTTCCTCTCAATGTTTCTTCTCACTGATGTCTGATCTCTTCTGTCAGAATGGAAGCAGCGCAGCTCCCGCAGAGGAAAATGTAGCTTCTTCACCATGTAGCATCTCCTTATCTGAACTGGTATCCAGTCTGGACTCCATATCACTGACTGTGAGCACACCTGGACAGAACTGCTCTTTCACTGTGACCTCTCCAGATACAGATGGCATCGAGTGTAGGCAAAAAACAAGAGAAGAGGAGGCGTTGGAGGGTTCAAGCAGAGCACATCATGTAGGAACTGACCAGCTAGGAGTTGAAGCAGGAGGAAACAAGAGCATGAGAGAAGTTTTCACCTGTGTTCTGGATCACCTGGAGCCTGGGACCACCTACCAGCTGCAGGTGCAGTCGAAGACCGATCAGGAGTCTGCAAACATCACCGCGCACACCAGTAAGTCCTGATCCCATCTAGATGTGTCAAAAATGTAAAATATTCAAAAAAGTTACATACTGTTGACGGAAATATCAATATTAATGTGCATACTCATTACTTACTTAGAATACTCAGTAATTTTGATTACAAATGCACAATGAATTTATGTTGAACGTGTGACATTTCTGCTACTTCTTGTAGTTTTATTAGGGCAAGACAAATTTTTATTTTTTTTGACACGGTGCTAAACACACCATACCTGCACCAATTCACAGACTTAAACCCCATTCACTATAGTGGAGCTAATACTCTATTGTTTTCTGTTTCATTGCATTGTTTCCATCTCCTCTGCCCTCTCGCGTTTGAAGTGAACCAACAGGACTCGACCTCCATGTCTTTGTGTACCTCAGAGTTAATGTCATGCAGCTTCCCCTCTCTGCAGCTCTGTGATTAGCTACAGGAACCCCTGCCCTGCTGAGAGAGAGTGATAGAGCTGTTAAAGTAAATGCATGTGTGTGTGTGTTGTGTCTCTACGCTGGCGGGAGTCCAGAACAGAAGTTGGACCCTCAGTGTGTATTTCCATCGTGGGCAGAGCTCAGGGTTCAGCCATTTCCTGCCTCCATTGTTTCTTTGTTCTGTGGGAAGCACTGGGAAAGGGTGTGAAGGTGTGTATAAGTGTGTGTTTGTGTTCATGTGTGTGTTGAGTTTGGGGAAAACTGGGTGTTGCTGCACCCAATCGAGTCCCGACAGTAACCTTCTCAGAAATGCAAAACACTTCTACTGTGGCGTTTGTGATTTCTTATCTTCTGTGGCATGCCGACTGTTACATCCACTGACCTTTAGTGGACTGGTCAAATATTTTTACATCACATGTATTTATTTGGTTGCCAGCTTGGTTGGTTGGTTAGTTTGTTGAAAAATCTAACTATGAACCAGGCAACTGTCTCACGTCTCAAAGAATAATAGAAACTTAGTTTTGAAGATATTTGAAGATATCTTTAGATACAGAACCATCCACCTGTAGCTTACTAGATTATTCAAGCTTTCTTAATCCCGACTTTAGTTTTATATTTAACTAAGTTGTTGCGTGAAGGATCATGTCAGACACCGTGGTCTGAAGTTTGGTCTGTTTTTGGGATCTTCTTCCTGTCACATGAAGACGTTTGTCTGTTTGTCCTCAACATTAACTATTATTGAGAACAGTTTAACGCCCATCCTCCATATTCCTTGTGCAAGTGTTTTTATATTAGTCTTAGATCTGTAGCTAGTCACGAGGTAGGCTAAAACATATCAAATCATTATATAAACTAGCACAACTATACTGATCTTCCAAACATCACTATTTAGTTTTCATCTTTATTTTTGTCCAAATTTATGGCAAAGTTATAGCAGTACTCTACATTTAAGACTTTTTAGAAAGAAAGTCAGAACATGGTATATCCTCTCCAGATAAAAACTAAGTAGCTAATTTCTAACTTGGTTCAGTTAAGTTTTATTTATATACCACCAAGTCATAACAGCGGTTTTGCCAAGGTGCTTTATATTGTAAGATTCTACAATAAAACAGGGAAAACCCCGACCATCAAACTATGCTCAAGCACTTGGTGATAGTGGGAAGGAAAAACTCCCTTTCAATAGGAAGAAACCTCCAGCAGAACCAGGCTCAGGGAGGGGTGGCCATCTGCTGCGGCTGGCTGGGTGTAAGGGGAGGAAGGCCGAAGAAAAGTACTAAGAGGTCTTTAAGATAAGACCTCATAGGATGTTTCTAAAACTAAAACCTCATCAGTCCTGCTTGTCATAGAAGTTTGAACATCACACCTTATTATAGCTCCTGGAGAGAAGACACACTGATGATTTTATTGGAGCTGAAACAATTTTAACTCTGTGTTTATTTGATTTGAGAATGTGAACCTGAAAACGATTGACTTCAGACTTAAGCAGCAGATGTATGAATGCTAACAGTTTCTATAAAAAAAGCAACAGTTATCATTTTCTGACATTGATTTTTATCCCATATAATAACAGAAAATGGTCAAATTTCATAAATCATGTTCAGGCTATTGGAAACAAATACAAGCTCTCTGCTCTGAACTATGGGTGGTGTCGAGGTTTCCTGCGCTTATTTCAGAGAGTTGGTTGGCAACAGAGGAAAAACTTAAATATTTAATGTTGGGTTCAGGTTATGAGAGAGTTCTTAAAGTGTTCATGTATGTCTGCCAGTTACAGAGTAAAGATACTTCTAATCATTTCACAGTGAAGGTCTATGTTGATGCCATGTCTTTACTTCTTTGTAGCCTTTAACCATTAGCATGGTGGCATTTCTTCACAGCAGTTTTAGGAAGAGGGCTGCGACTGGCTGCACGTACAGAACCAGTCCTAAATTCTTCAGACCAGTCGTAGCTTTGTGGGTCAGAAAAGCTTAAACAAAGAACAAAGAAATAACAGTGGATCCTAAACGGCCTCGAGCTGCACCATGTTCACATGTGCTGCGTTACAGCATTGTGTTTGTGTCCACTGATGTTGTGGTTGTCATCTAACCAAAGGATGTGTTGAGCTCGAACATGGTAGAGCTCCATGTTGTCTGAAACAGTGGGACTGTTCCTTTAAGGTAAATTATATATTTTGAACATGAAGGTCAGTCGGACTGCAGGGAGGTTTCAGCAGGAAAAGGATCCATCGCATCCATCTGTGGCCTTGTCATCAAAGTCTGAACATCGTGGGAGGCCTGCTGACACACACACACACACACACACACACACACACACACACACACACACACACGCCTGTTTGAATTTCTCCCACATCGCCTCTCTGCAGCCTCACAGGGTTGTTAAAAAAGTACTCTTGTGTCACCAGCCACTCCAGTCTGAGGTCAAATACAGTCATCACAATCTCCACAAATAAACAGTTAAAGTTTCCGCAATTAGCTTTTCTTTAAAAACAAAAAAACAAAAACGACAGGGGTTGGTGGGAGTAAACAACAAAAATCAGAACAGCCAGCCTAAATGGGCATTTAAACGCTTGCAAGTCTTTGCACTTAACCTTACAAAAGCTGGAACAGGTACAAATAATTAAATGAAATAAGCATGCAAGGCAAAAGGTTAAAGCGGGCTGTAAATTGAATTATTTAGTTTAATGTTTAATTTGCTCTTGTCTCAGAGCCCTCGGCAGTGATTGGCCTGGCGGTGACATCCAGGACCTGCAGCAGTCTAAGCCTTTCCTGGCAGGCCGGAAACGGCAGGACGCAGCGCTTCAGGCTTCAGTTGTGGGAACAGTCTGAGAGTCCAGATCAGTCCGGTACGTCTGTGATGTTTCTAACTTCTTATGATCATCCATGTCCTCAAAAGAAACAGCCCTGATGCAATCATCCACTCTCATTTCAGGTTCTTTCAGATTGAAGAACAGAAAAAAAAAATGTTTTTAGCTGATTGTTTCAAGCAGTCTGAAGCTTTCAGCCTCTCAACTTCTTCTCCACTGTCATGTCTGCAGGTCTGCTGAAGAACGAGACTTTAGGGAGCACAACAACACGACACACACTAAACGGCCTGGTGCCAGGTCGACTGTACAACATTACTGTGGTGACAGAGGGCGGCAAGCTGCAAAACAGCCGGACCATCGAGGCTCAGACAGGTGAGGGAGGAGAGCAAGAGGGGGAAAAGTAATGACAGGAGGAAAGAGGTAAATGAGTGAATGAATGAAGGGATAAAAAAGATGGAAAGGCAAAAAGGAAAGGAAAGCAAGAATAAAACAAGGAAACAAGACAGAAAGGAGTGAAAGCAGAAAAAGCGAAACAACAAAAAGCAAGAGAGAAAAAGAAATAAAATGAAGGAATTAAACAAAATTTAGGCAGTAGAAAGAAAAGAAGGAAAAAAAAAAACAAGGACAGTCAGAAAAACAGAAACAAGGAAAGGTGAGAGAGTGAAACAGTAAAGGAAACAAATCAGGAAGACAGCAAAGTAAAATGGAAAAAAAGTAAATGTTACATTTGAGTCTCTTTTCTCTTTAGTGCCTTCTGCTGTTTTCAACCTCACCACTAACTACGAGAATAGCACCATCTTGCTGTTGTCGTGGCAAAAGCCTAAAGGTGACCTGGACGCTCTCATCGTCACGCTCACATACAATGGCACGAGGCTCTGGGAGACCACCCTGCCTGGGAACGTCACAGAAGTCACCATCCATCAGCTGACTCCTGGCTCAGCCTATCAGCTTACAGTGACTTCTAGGAGTGGCAGACTGACAAACCAATCAGAAATCACTGTCAGGACAGGTGAGATGATGAAATGAAGCTGCCCTTTATTTTATTTTATTTTATTTTTTGTTTCCCCCCTTTCCCCTCACCCTGGCATCTTCTTGTCTCCAGCTCCAGCTCCAGCATCCCACCTCACCTTGTCTCCCTCTGCCTCTGGTGGCCTCTTCCTGGCTTGGTCGCCTCCAGCTGGTCACTGGGAGAACTACAGGCTGTTCCTATTTGATGGCTCTCAACAGGTAGTCAGCACATCTCTGGACCAGGAGGCAGTGAACTTCAGCATCCCCAGTGCAGGACTAACACCAGGGAGGGTGTACAGAGTTGTGTTGAGAGTGGAGAGTGGAGGACTGACAGCTGAGAGTAGCTGTGAGGGATCAACAGGTCAGAAATATATCAGCACAAATACATATGATAGTACATATCATACTTGTGAAGTTCAGCTTTGACCTGTCGTACTGACTAATCTGACCACTTCAAAGTAAGGGCTGAACTGGGCTCCTGTACTGGTGTGCCAGAATAACAACTTGCAGTAAAACTTGCTGCTTTTCCATCTGTCTCTGCAGCTCCTGCTCCGGTATTGGATCTCCACATTCGGCACTCTGATCAGACCTCACTCAGTGCTATGTGGAGCCACTCCCCCTTGGGGTTACGTGACAGCTACTTCCTCACCCTTTACCATGGTAATAACAGTATAGCCTACCAGACTTTTTCTTTTTTTGTAAACTCTCTGAAATCAGCATTGCTATTTTCAAAAGTTTGACTCTTAAATGTTAGAAAAAGGTGATTTTTCTTCATTATACTTCCTGCTGTCTCCTAGGTAACAACACAGAGGCTACCAGGACAGTGGAGCCAAATATGAGGGAGTGCACCTTCAATGTCCTCACACCTGGTAGACTGTACACCATTACCGTGACAACCAGAAGTGGAAAACTGAACACCTCTGTTTCCGTGGAGGGGAGAACAGGTGTGTGTTTTTATACTGCCCGTGTGTTGGTGGTAGTAAAACTGCAGGTCCCCACGAAGTACCGTAGGAAAGAACACCAGTTCAACTGATTTTATTTTGGCATGTAAAAATGTGGAACGTTTTTCTCAG